ACACGTTCAGTAGAACTAAGTGAATCCCCTGGCCCCCAGATCTGATTAGAATAAGCTTTCCAAATATGCCAACATATTATGTCTGATGGGTTGTGTTTGAAGATATATCCCAGTGTCTTGCTGCCTACCTTTAACCACCATGATCTAAAAACTTGTAGTAATGAGATATTAGAATTGGAAATTGAAATACCAAAGAGTCTCATGAAATAAGACCAAATATGCTTCACAAAAAACATGCTCCATAGAATCACCATGAGATCCGCATAGGGGACATATAGATGGATATAAGAGCATCTGAAACCTAAAATGGTTATATGTAGTAGGAATAATTCCTTTTGGAATTTTTCACTAAATGAGATGTACTTTCATTTGTTGTTTAGGGTGCCATGTATGAGAAAATGATAGAGTTTCTGGTAACTTATTTCTAGAAATATTATATGCTGATTTGAATGAAAATTGACCATTTTCTTCGGCATCCCAAAAATTGCTTTCTGTAGAATCAAATGAGCAGAGACTGAGAAGTGACATTGATTGAGCATATTCTCCTCCAAACAGGTGAGTCAGTAACCTTTAGATTCATATTGATACCTCTATCATGTCTAGCTTTGAAAATGTCGGTCCACAAAGAATTTCTAGTTTTTCATTTTCAACATAATTTGAGTGAAAGCTTTTTCAATATCTGAAAAGGATATAATCCCTAACCCCCCTTCCGAACTAGGAAAACAGAGGTTGGCCCATTTAATCCAGTGATATTTCCTTTTGTTATTTAAAAACCCCAAAAAGAAATTGGCCATTTTGCTTTCCAAAATTTTGTTGAATCCACAAGAGATCTAGAATCACCATTAAGAAAGACCAATAAATCATCCGCAAAACCAAGATGTGAGATAGGATATACAAAGCTTCCCATCCAGTAAGGTTTGATCAACCCCTTGTCCATGTACCGGTTAATCCCTTGAGAGAAAGCCTCAGATGCTATAATGAATAAAAAAAGGTGACAAGGGGTCACCTTGTTTAAACCCTCTTTTAGGTTGGAAAACCTCATGAGGAACACCATTAATAAGAATGGATAAAAAGCAGTTTGTAGATTATTAAGGATTAAATTAATGAAATTGTGATGAAAACCAAACTGTGCCAAGATATCGGAAACAAATTTCCATGATAGCTTGTCAAAGCCTTAGCCATATCAAGCTTGATGACAATATTAGAGCATCTGACCTTCTTACCAATGTTGTAGATCGTATCCTAAGAAATAAGAATATGTTCTGCAACATCTCTATCTTCCATAAAACATGTTTGCTCATGTGGAATTATTTTGGTAAAATTGCATTAAGTCTGGAAGCCAACACTTTAGTACAGATTATACTCACACAGTTTGAAAGACAGACAGTTCTGAAATTCACAAAGGAAGCTTGATTATCTAATTTAGGAATCAAGATAAGAATAGCACTAGCCATCCCTTTAGTAATGGGCAGACCCATGAAAACTTCTGAATACCTCTCACCACACCATCCGCCACAATGGACCAACATTTGTAAAGAATTTCCCATTAAATCCATCTGGATCAGGAGCTCCCTTTTTATTTGAGTCCCAAACTTCTTTTTTACTTCTTCCTTTCTTGGTAATTGAATTAACACATTGTTATCTTCAGGCTGATTGAGATGAGGAATATAGTGCAGGACATCATCAGAGACTGTCTGATTATCAACAAAATATAAATTATAGAAGAAATTGATTGCACCTTCTCTAATCTCTGGTAAAGTGCTCACTGTCTTTCCATCTTTATATATGTATATGTATGTATGTGTGTATATATATATATATAATCTGGTACATATTTGATACGAATTTTGGCACGGATTTGGCACAGATTTGACACAGATTTTGCACGGATTTGGCACGGCTTCGTGCCAAGTAACTTATGAAAAAACGCCGTTGGATCGTATACTCCAAATCCGTGTCTGTGATCCCTTATATATTTTGACAAATCCTTACCTAAAATTGTGTGTCAACTGTGTTATTTTTTTGTAGTGTTGTGGGGCACGGTGGGACCTAGTCAAGACATCTATTCTCGATGTTTCAATAGAACTTATTCCAAATGAGCGCCCTATCAGGCACAATAGGGTCTATTCCCGATATCCAAATTATTTTTTCCCTCCAAAAGAGCACTCTATTTATGGGGCATAGTGAGGTCTTGTCAAGACATCTATTCTCAATGTCCGAATTCAAAAAAAATTCAAACAAAATATGATTAATGACTTTGAGATTCGAGACATTTACATCTATGATTGATAAGGAAAAAAGGTTATCAGATCGAAACAACGACTACTTCTACATTTTCATTGTTAAACATATGAACAAACTTTAATGCGACAAAAATGTGAACTCAAAACATTTTCCAACGGAAGGCATTGTGGGGGCACGGTGGGGTCCAACCGTCCAGTCAAAATGAGTGTTCCGAGATCTATAAATGTTTGTTCCGATGCCTCCCGTCAAAATGAGTGTTCCGAGGTCTATAAATGTTTGTTTCGATGTCTCCCGTCAAAATGAGTGTTCCGAGGTCTATGCATGTTTATTCCGATGCCTTAAAATGGTTGTTCTGATGTCTTAATTAATTTTTTCAAAGGAGCGCCAAATGTTAATTCCGATGCCTGTGGGGGCACAATTAGGTCTTGTCACGACGTCTATTCCCAGTGTCTAAATTGAATTTTAAAAAAAATGATCTGTGCGTGGGGCATGGTGGGGTCTAGTCAAGACGTCCATACATGATGTCCAAATTAATTTTTTTCCCAAAGCGGTGCTCTATAGGGCACAGTCGGGTCTTGTCAAGACGTCTATCCCGATGATTGATAAGGAAAAAGGTTATCAGATCGAAACAATGACTAGTTTTACATTTTCATTGTTAAAAATATGAACAAACTTTCATGCGACAAAAATTTGAACTCAAAACGTTTTCCAATGGAAGGCACTATGGAGCACGGTGGGGTCCAGCCGTCCAGTCAAAATGAGTGTTCCGAGGTCTCTAAATGTTTGTTACGACGTCTCTAGTCAAAATGAGTATTCCGAGGTCTATAAATATTTGTTCTAATGCCTTAAAATGCTTGTTCTGATGTCTTAATTAATTTTTACAAAGGAGCGCCAAATGTTAATTTCGATGCCTATGGAGGCACAATTAGGTATTGTCACGACGTCTACTCCCGATGTTTAAATTGAACTTTTAAAAAAAATGATCTATGTGTGGGGCATGGTGGGGTCTAGTCAAGACATCCAAACCTGATGTCCAAATTCAATTTTTTTCCAAAGGGGTGCTCTATGGGGCACAATCGGGTTTTGTCAAGACGTCTATCCTAATGTCCAAATAAAAAAAATTCAACCACAATTCGATTACATGGAAAACACAAGGATATTAGGAGGACATCCATTTTTAGTAGGAGTAATATACAGAGAGGCCCATTAGGAAAAAAGATTATTCCGGCCCGAGCCTATTAGAATTCTTGTTGCGTGCCTCATCTTTTTCCGCTGAAAGTCAATAACTTATATCAGTAATACACCTCATTCAATTCATCGGAACTCCAAAGCGCTGGTCAAAGAGAGAATCGAAGCGGCACATTGTCTACAAACTCTAAGGAGAGCCTTGGTCAAAGAGAGAATCGAAGCGGCACATTGTCTACATATTCCGAGGAGACCGTGTAAATTCGAGGAGACTAAGGAGCTGATACAATTTATATTTTCTCACCTAATTATGGTTTTAATGTTAAATATTTAACAGATAGATAGCTTCCCCATAAACCACTAATGGTATAATAGAGGGGAGAATTAAGAGTAGTGAGAGAAAGAGCATAAAATTAAATGGGATTCGAACCCTTTATAACTATCCCCAAGAGCGTATTTATACTAGTAATTAATGAGATGGTGCACTAAATGCAGTACACATGTTGGCTATTCTAATGAGAAGGCCCTATGGGGCACTCCACACTACACAAAATAATGAGGTTTGCACGGATTTGACACATATATGGCACAGCTTCGTGTTATTTTGGTGAACCCTTACCTAAAATTGTGTGTCAACCGTGTTATTTTTTGTAGCGTTGTGGAGCACGGTGTGACCTAGTCAAGACGTCTATTCTCGATGTTTAAATAGAAATTTTTCCAAAGGAGGGTATGAGGCACAATCACTTCTAGTCAAGACGTCTATTCCCGATGTTCGAGGTCTATAAACGTTTTTTCCGATGTCCTAAAATGGTTTCTTCGATGGCTTAAATAATTTTTTTCAAAGGAGCGTCAAATGTTTATTCCAATGCCCATGGGGGCACAATTAGGTCTTGTCACGACATCATTTCCCGATGTCTAAATTGAATTTTTTAAGAAATGATTTGTGTGTGGGGCATGGTGGGGTCTAGTCAAGACGTCCATACCTGATGTCCAACTTGAATTTTTTTCCGAAGGGTGCTCTATGGGACACAGTCGGGTCTTTTCAAGACGTCTGTCCCGATGTCCAAATTTCAACCACAATCGGATTAATTAGTTTCAGATTCGAGACATTCTTCCAATTCTATACTTTATTCACATCCCATTCGGACACTTTTGAGTTGTAAACATAAATAATTGACATTTTAAAAAGAATTTTGAATGACTACTTCATTTCAATTTTTATACCCAGCGACAATAGTGTTAAATTACTGGTAATTTAACATAATTTTCAATTATTCACGTACTAATCTTTTGTAAAATGTATAGGAAAATCTCATAAAAAATTAAAACCTGGTTTTCATTATTATGATATCCAAAAACCAAACATAGTTATTCATATACAAAAAAATCTGAAATCTAACATTACGATTTGACTTGGTCACACCTCGGTTTCACACAAAATAGAAGTGCTGGGTCACTTATGGTCCACTACGTATACATAATCTCAAACAAATTATAAAAAAATAATAATCCGTATATTGGAACAGTAACACGCACCCCTATATAAAGCGTTACCATTGAAGACTTCGTTCATCCTTCGGGAGAAAATCCAAATTTCACAGATCACTCTGGAAAGAAGAAACCGTCAATTTCTCTCATCAACTCTCAGTGTTTCCGGCGGTGTGTTACTGTGTGCGTTTTTCTATGTATATGAACTCTTTTTCAAGGAAATTATGCAATTCCTTGCAAAGAGCTTTTTTCAATTTTGATCTTCCGGGAGAAATTCCTCCGGATGTTTTTCATTCCTTTCAATCCTTTCATTGTGAATGATCTGTTCATCTGTTCGGAAACTCCTCTGCTAATTTCTGAAAATTTCTGATTTGATCGCTCTTAAACGGAGACGAAAAGCGTTTTTGAATGGTTACTCGGCTAGTTCTGTTAGGTTCCGTTTAATTTCCTGCATTTCCTGATTGAAGAGAGATGATGGATTTGGGAGTGTTTGATGTCGTCAAATCGGAGAAGGCCAAAGCGGTCGCGAGGTTTAATCGCTTCCGCCGGATGATGAAGATGATCAAGTGTTTCGAATTGATCGGCGTCCTGATGGTGATTTCATGGTCCTGTACTCGAATTCCCGGCGTCGTGAAACTCGCCGGCGTTTGTTTGGTTGAGTTGTGGAATTATGCCTGCAATCCTCACATCGTGTTCGTCATCGGAAACGCCATAATAGTTTCCCTGTTCGTGCTCTGCCGCAAAACCGGCGTCGGTTGCAACTCGGTCGTCTTCGATTTCTGCTTAGACGACCGTGATGAAATCAGCAGCGGTGAATCTCAACCGCCGATGAACTCGTCGGAAGAGTCCGTGCCTCCACACCATTCGGAGGCTGAGGAAGAAGAAACAAAGCAGATTGTCTGCTCCGAGAGCGCGATTCAGAGTCCGCAATGCAACGAGATTTCAGCGGCGATGAAGATGGCTGAGAAACAAATTGAGAAGTTCCGGAGGACTCAGTCGGAAAGTCTGAAGCGAGCTATGGCGTTGAAGCCTGAGAGAGAACTCCGGCGATCAGCAACGGAGGTGCGGCGAGAGGCCCCCAATTTCACCGGAAAACGAGTAGTACCGACGGTAGAAGATCTCAACAGCGAGGAGTTTCGGCTAAGAATCGAGAAATTCATCCGGCAAAATCAACAGTTGTTCCAAATTGAGAACGGCCTGCGTACATGAACCTTGTAAACCTGAAGATCATAGCTGAAAGCCTGAAATAGATTCATTTAATGCTCCCCTTACCCTTTCCTATTTCCTATATCATCTCATTACTCATGTGAATCCTTTTTAATTCTCGTGATATCGTGTATTAACTTTTTATTTGAATTTGGTTTTTACAATTCAAGAAAAGCTTAATACAATTTGCCTTTTATGTCTTTTATACATTTTATTAATTAATACAGAAAATAATTACTAATGTTTACGAAGTACTACGTATATAATTAAAATAAAGATGGATGACACAAGTATGATGTTCTATATTTTTTTGGATGAAAGCGGCTTACATAAATATCAAACCATTTGGAAAGCAGATAAACAGACAAAATAACTTTAGATAACTCCCATCCCGCGAAATAGAGTCGGAGTCAATTACCTCAGTAATAGAACTCGCTGATCCATATTTGGGCACAACTAAGCCAGTGACGGTAATCACAGTTAGATATCTCCCACATCCAAACTAGAATCCAACGTTTTACAACCATTGAAACAGAAAAAACTACAAGAGAAACAAGACCAATCAGACCAAAAATAAAAATAACAGAAAACAAAAGAGTAACTGCAAAACTGAATCAGCAGTCCGCACCCCCAGGCCCAGCTCGTCCCTTTCTGACTTGTGCCATCCCTTGGCAAGCTTACCCCTAAAGCCCGCCTCCTCTCCATTTTTTGAACTGTCCAGAGCCATCTCATCCCCATTCTGGTTTTGGCTTTTGAGTTGTCCCTATTTCCCAGGTACGTCTGCGTTTTTCTCTAGATGATTCTTCATTATGTTTCAGAAACACTTCCTTATTAGAAGCACTCCCCGAATTCCTTGAATCTTCTTGCCCTCTCTGTCGATTCCTCCCCAGAGGTGAGGCATCCTCAATCAACCATTTATTTTTTCCTATAGGGCTTGTCTTCACCTCACCCCTACCCTGAGAGATGCATCAAATATTTTTTCCAACACCAGACCTTCCTCATACATGAGTGGACAGAATTTATGAGAATGTCCCATAACTCCACAGATAAAGCAAAAGTTAGGTAGCTTCTCATACTGAAAATCTACTCAGTACCCGACCCTCTCTTTCTTCAGATTCGTACCCTTTTTCAGGGGTCTTTCCACGTTAATGCATGCTCTAACCCTCATATAAGGCTTCCATTGTTCGCCATAGTTATTTTTGTCAAAAACAACAAAAGTACCCAAAAAAATTCCCACTTTCCTAGCAGTACCTAGATTCAACATACCATAGGGAACATTATGAACCCTAACTCAGAATTCTGCTTCATTCATAACAATTTTATGAGGAATATATGTTGATTTGATTTCCTTTACAATTAGTAAATTCCTCTCAAATTGCCAAGGGCCTCCCTCAATCACACGCTTTATATCAACGGGATGGCTAAAATTAAAAATATACCTTTTTCCCTTGATCTCCTTGATTTCAACTCCTCTGCCCGGCCTCCAAACTGATGTTATTGCCTCTTTGAAACCTGAGAAGTTGATTTTTCCGGTCTGTTATCAGTGCCCCGACAACCACAAACGCCGGACGAACTCCCTCTCCAGCCTCCTCGTCGGCTTCGACATCATCGCACACCACCTCTGCCTCCTTTTCCTCCACGCTCATTCGCCTATACCTCTCTGCTATAGACTTCATCTCGAATTGGACACAAATGGCTAGGAAGCAAAATTTTCACTCACGGTCACCCTCCTCCTTGCTGCTCGCTTCTCCTCCCTGCCCCTTCCCCGCGTCTTATAGCCTCCTATTTCGATGCTTCCAAGGTCAACACCGCACCTCGACGGAAAAGCCGAGGCCGGACCAAAACCTAGCGACGTTTTAGTTTCGCCCTAGAGAGATACTATTTGTTGACATGCTAATTATCTTGGACACTAGTTTTTAACCACTTATGATGTTCTATATATATAATGCAATAATGGCTACATATTTATATATATAAATAAAGTAGCAATGACTTTAATCACTTCAATTGTAAATTAAAGTGATTATTATTGTGTTTATTTGGACTTAAATAATGTGAGAATAGCTTTTCACATTAAATAAAGCAAATATATCATACTAAATGCACATCTAAAATAGTGATTACCCTTGCATTTAGGTTGTATATATTCTTATGGAATTAAATCCAAATTGATTAGCTCTTATATATTTTTGCTTATATATTTTTGTTGATAGTATTTAACCTAGTCATTTGTCTATATATGATAATATGAATACCCCGATCAGAACATGTTTGTAATTACAATAATGAATACTCCCTCCGTTCTTTAATATTAGTCCTCTTAGGCTTTGGCACGGGTTTTAAGAAGAAAGTAGTAGGGGTAGTGTAAAAGGTGTAATGAGTAGTGGGTAAATGAAAAAGTAGGAAAGAGAAAGAGGTAATGGTAATAAAAGTTGGGGTATAAAGGTATATTTAGAGTAAAAACTTTCCTTAAATGGAAAGGAGGACAGATAAAAAAAACGTCCCAAAAAGGAAAGAAGGGCTAATAAAAAAGAACGGAGGTAGTAATTTATACATGTAATTCTCATTATCTTACGACTCCTTAAGGGAGTGTTTGCAAATGTTTCTGTTTAAAAAAACACTTTTGGAGATGTAAGGAAAAAGTGATTGGTAGTAAAAGTTGATAGTGTTTGAGAAAAAAGTGATTTTGAAAAGTAAAAGTTAGTAGTGTTTGGTAAAATAAGTGTTTTTGGTGTGATAGAAAAGGGAAAATCACTTTTCACACGCAAGCCAAGAAAAAGTAAAAATTGGTAGTGTTTGGTAAATAAGTATTTTTTAAGCCAAAAGTTGAGAAGTGTTTTTTTAAGTTTTTAAACACTCCCTAAATGTTCATCCTTCAATACTATACTATATCCTTCAATACTGTACTACGATAGTACTCCGTATTATTTAATACTAGTTTTTGTGTCGCGCGTTGCGCGATTGAGCCAATGCCCAATACGTTTATAAAATCTATTTTTTAGTTAGTACTAAAATTATTACTATAAACTGTCTAAGTATTGAAACCAAACTATTTGAATCAGACAGAACAAATAACTACTAACTCGTCTCGTATACAGACAAGGGTTAATTACCACCTCTAATTCAAATCACTAAATCAAAGAATTGACAGCTAAACAATGAAACTAAATGTGGCACTTAAGGTCAGGGGTTTCGAATGGTAAGAATGACATTAACTGCAGAGGATGAAAGAGTATTATAGTCTAAAATTCTAGTTCTAAAGGAGGTGAGTTTAACTTTTCAACGGAGTGGATTTATATCTGGGTGTCAAAGATTTTGACTTTAACAATCTCTTAAGAGTTTGGAAGTACGTATTACTATGGATGCATGAGAACTATAGCCATTCAAGAACAATAGAAATAACGCAAAGTTTTTTAAAAAAAAGTGGATAAATAAGTTACATATATGAGTGTATGAGACTATGAGGTGGACTTTTTATTATTTCAAATTACAACTCAAAACAAAGTAGTCATATTATAAATAAAATAAATTATTGCACCGTTCTGAATGTATCATCTAAGAGCAACAATGACAAAGAAAAAGATCAAACTAACATTAGCGATTAACATTATTTCATAGCCAATAACAAAAATAGCAAAGTGTTTCACCACAAAATAGACGTTCAGTGACATATCAATAACATAAGGAGAACCATTCTCCAAACACATGGTTCCAATACCACAAACAATTTGACAATATATATAATTGAATAGAGATTAATTTAGCATTATAGGTGTAAAAACAAACAAGTACGCGGAAACAAACTTATAGTTAATTTTGACCCCGTTTGGTAACTCATAATTCCAGTTTATCATCCTTATCAACCATCTTTTTTACCTAACACGTACTTTTTCATCTTTTGGCTTAAAAAGGGTTAAAATGAGTTTTTTCAAGTGAAAACTTTTGTTTGAATTAAGCACTTTAAAGCTAAAAGTTGGAAGCAAGTGGGGGGGGGGGGCTTAAGAGCCCGTTTGGAAGCACGAAAATCGGCTGATTTGGCTGATTCTGTTGAAATTTATGAAGTTCTGGCTGAGTGACTGCATTGGCTGGTTCTGATGATTTAGGAAAAAAATATTTTTAAAATATATTTTATTAATAAAATAAAGAAAAAATTATATGTAAAAATAGTCAAAGTGGTCATCTACAGTAACTTCAGCCAATACATCCAGAAAACTAACTTCAACCTTACGTTTTTTGCTTATTATACAATTCAAAAACTTTTGTTTAAATTAAGCACTTTAAATCTAAAAGTTGGAAACAAGTGGAGGGGGGCCTTAGGAGCACGTTTGGTAGCACGCAAATCGGCTGATTTGTCTTATTCTGCTGAAATTTATGAAGTTCTGGTTGAAGTGGCTGCATTGGCTTATTCTGATGATTTAAGAAAAAAATATTGTTAAAATATATTTTATTAATAAAATAAAGAAAAAATTATATGTAAAAACAGCTAAAGTGGTCATCTACACTAACTTCAGCCAATACATCCAGAAAAGTAACTTCAACCTTACGTTTTCTGCTTATTACACAATTCAGCGCGCGAAAGCAAAATTTACGTGTTTGGTGAAAAAGTTGGTTGATAAGCCTTATAAACCGAAAAACAGTGTTGCCAAACAGCCTCTAAAAGAGTTTTTCACTTTTCAATTACACAAAAAACACTTTTTTTACCAAACACCACCAACATTTACTTTTTAGAAACACCTTTTTCAGACACTACTAACTTTTACTATTAAGCACTTTCTTCAAAATCACTTTAAAATTCATCTTTTAAAGTAGAAACAATCGGAAAATAATTTAATACTTTTTTGTTTGAATTGACTAACATTACCGTGGAATACTATTTCAGTTACTTTCATGTAATGTTTTCTCAATAAGATATAATTTAAACAAAGTAGCATTTCATCTTCTACATAACATATACAATGACCTAGAGAAAAGTTTTAAAATGCAAAATTAAATGAAAACATTACATAAAAATCAATCCCATTAAGTACATAGAATAATTAAAATACGAAAGCCACATATAGGATGTTAATAGGAAACTTAATAGTTGGTAGCGGAGTAAGTAGTAGAAATAAGAGTAATGATGAAAGGTACAATAATTAAAACAAATTGTATAAGTGTAACTTGCTTTAGTGTTACACCAACATTTTTATCATTCCTAAAATGCTCTAACCATCATTGGTGTTTATAAG